ACCAGCTGCATCTAGTGGCACAATATGTGTATTGTATAGTGTTCAATTTGTCATTCTTCTATTTTCTGCTTTCGTTATATTTCAACTCATTTTCGTGTTTATGTACCAAAAAAAGTTTTATCAAAAAACCACGGTTCTATCCACATATAGGATCACCAAACAACATTAGTCCTGCTTTACTGCTCATTGAACGGAGGCAGTGCTGAACAACCTAGCTAGAAAAGTGCGTTACTTCAATTCGATTCATTCAAAAAAACGTTTCAATTCGATCGAGTGCCGCAGCTCTGGACCAAGGTAAATCATTTAATAGTGACAATGGAAGTCGTATTTCTCTTTGATCATGTCCAGAAATCTTGAAATATACAATCACTGTTGTTTGTCAGAAATCAACATTTATGTGCAACGTCGATGTTTCTTTTGATGCTCAAGAATAGTAAAATATTTTTCTCTTTTAAGAAAAAAAAATGATATTTCTGTAAATTGAAAAAATATTGCTTTGGGTAAGATCGACTCCTAAGCACGATGTCAAATTCAGAAAAGAATCGATGGACGCGTCACTGAATATTTTTTTTTATCAGATACACAGAGTAATCACAATACATAACAAGCAATAGCAATTAACGCACGAATGAGAAAAAGAATCAAATGAAAACGAAAGTAGAAAATAGAAGAATGACAAATTGAACACTATACAATACACATATTGTGCCACTAGATGCAGCTGGTCTTGATGTAATTTGCGATGCAGGTATTAATTTTGGAATTGAACAATCCACACCGGAATAGCGTTCAGTGCAATTACATATTCCAAATTGAAAATATGGACTTGGTACACAAGTGCCATGTCCCGTACAATTGTTATAACAGTACGCTGGATCATTAAGATAATTATGTAACGCGTGTGCAATTAATACTGATTTGTTTTGTATTAATGAATCGTTAGGAAATCGAACTTGATTTAATAAATTAAAAATACTTTGAAGACTGAATTTGATAATGACTGGATTTGATGGAACCGTTTTCGACCATTGCTCAATTGAAGTTAGTGATGTATCACCGCCCAGTGTTGTAACATGTTTTTCTTGCACTCGAGTCATGAATTCATCATGTGTGTTCTTGTTATAAGTGTACTGTTGTTTAGCTCCCATTGTAATAAAAAATTCTGCTTTGGCTTCATTTACTATATCAAGGCCATTCGCTTGCATTTTCTGATACGATTCTGTATTGATAAGAACATTTTCTTGGGCTATTCCACCAAGTAATATAGTTGACAGATATGTGTACCCAAAATAATTCAATATATAGTCATAAATATATTCTTCAGTATCAGCATCATAATTACAACATGGTAAATTATTAATAACATATTTAAATGGATCCGATAATTCCATCGTTGGTTCGAACATTGACAATTTCACGTATGATATTTGTGCTGTTGTCTGCATTGTTGTTGTGTTCTTTTTAACAATATTGTCAACCATATAACGTGTTTGTACTGAAGTTTTGTATGAAAATGAAGCTGTCGAATATGTTCCACTTCCAGCAGCGTCAACCTTATTGGTAATTGATTCATGAAGTTCGTGCAATGTACTTATTGATTCTGTGTTAGCATCCCAAGTAGTCGATGGTAGACAATCTAAATCAACATTTTCAGGTATTAATTTTTGAGTGCATGTTCCAGGTTTCGGTCGAAGATAATTTAGTTTGAATATTGAACGTCCAAATCCTTCCATTTGACAACTACCAGTATAACATACAGGAGTACCATATAGAGGATTGTAGCCAATACCGATTTTATTTGAATTTTCTAACCAATTTGTACTGTCCAACGCATCAAGATACTCCTGCACCTGGTCATTAATTGGCAAGTTTTTGTCACGTTGGGGGGGATATGTAGCATATTGATGTACGCCAAAAAGTGCAATTAGAAGAAAGACAAATCCGCTCGGCATGTTGCTCAGTTAATGAATCTTTTTGAACATGTCTGCAGCTATTTATCGTACTTTCGAACAAAAATACACGACTTCAAGTTTTCTTTACCATTTGACACTATGGCACATTAACAAGGGAATCTCAATCCTTTCTCGGAAGAAAAAAAACATTGTATATTTCCAACAGTCATCATGGATAAACAGAATCTTTAACTTTCTATTTGTTTGATGAAGAAAACATCAGTCACTTTTATGGCATCATTCATTAGTGTATCGAAGTAAATATTGCTCGGCAAGGAATAAAACATGATGGGTGTGGGTGTTGGTGTGAGTGTGGGTATGTTGGTGTTGGTTTGAATCTGAATCCACACCGACACCCACAACCTCACACACCAAATCCAAACGCACTCACACCCAGACCCACACCCACACCCACACCCACACCCACATCTACACACGCACCCACACCCACATCCACACCCAT